GCTTAGACTGACTCAAATGGATGTTTTCTGCAACTGAACCTGATTAATATGGTGGATAGGGTATGTGTTTTTTAAAAAAAAATGAATATAACAGTAGAATTTTTATAGCTTAAAGAGTTAAAGACAACTTACTTATTACTGAAAATATAACATACAAAAAGAAAGAAATAGAATTGAGAGAAAAGAGGGAATAACTTATGGAAGATATTGGAAGACAGAAAAAGTGAGGTGAGAAAGCCATCCTTCGACAGTCCCAACAATTCTTGCCTCCTCATATTCATGCTCCTTTGACTTCTCCTACAGTGTAGAGGGCTCACCAGTGTAACCAAAAGCATGCTGTGGAAATGATGGAGTGTGACTTCTAAAGTTAGGTCATTAAAGAATTTATAGCTTCCTCCTTGCTCTTTTAACTCACTCACTCTGGGGGAAGGCAGCTGACATGTTGTGAGGGCACTCCAACACGCCATGCAGAGTCCCTTATGTGGAGGAACTGAGACCTTCTGCCAACAACCAATCCAGACTTGCCAAATATGTGAGTGAGCCATGTTATAAGTTAAATCCTCCAGCCTCACTTCAAGTCTTTAGGAAACTGTAGCCCTGCCTGACATCTTGACTGCAACCGCAAGAGATCCCAAGCCAGGATTACCCAGCTAAGCCACTTGTGAATTCCTCACCCTTAGAAACTGGGAGGGTAATAATGTTCAGTTGTGTTTAAATCCAGGGAAGATCCCCTGGAGGAGCACATGGCAACCCACTCCAGTATTCTTGCTGGAGAATCCCATGGACAGAGGAGCCTGGCGGGCTGCAGTCCTTAGGGTTGCACTGAGTCAGACACAACTGAAGCAACTTAGCACGCACGTGTTCTATTCCACAGTGCTTTGGGAATATGTGTCATGCATCAACAGCAGGGGTATCCTATAGGGATGAGGTTAGTCTTGGAGATGAAGTGTGCCTCTGAGATAAAAGGAGAAAATGGACGTCACAAGCATTCAAATCTAGGGGTGGGAAAAAGAGGAAGTTAAGTCTGATGACCAGTATTTTCTCTACAAAGAGGCAAAGCCATCTGCTGAAAGTAAGGGTGGAATGTAGGGACTATAAAGTTGAGAACAATAAAAAGAATATAATAGTTACCAGGTAAAGCTGAAAGAAGCCAAATAGGAATGACTGCTTCAGTTAGAAAATCATACATCTGCAATGGAGTCAGTTGGTATATTATGGTATATCCTATCACTATGGTTGATAACCCAGAGGGAATAGAGTAAGAGATGGTAGGTTTCGCTTGATTTGAGAACTGGTGAAGCAAAGATAGCAGAAAAACAACAGGGTCAAGGGAACTCAGGGTGCTGACTTAGGCCACTGAAGTGACTAACCATGCAGTCCAAACTGGTAGACATGGAAACAAGTTGAGGAGGAAACAGGTGGCCTGAAAGAGTAAGAAGCTGAGTGCAGAATCAACATTTAGAGAAACATAACGGTTACAGAAGTCCAAAGCAGTAACTCCCTAGGAATCAGAAGTCCCAGGTTATGGTCATGGCACACTATTAACAAGCTTGGTATTCTAGGCAAACAGAAAATTTTCAGGGCCTTATTTCCCCTACCCTTGGTCAAAAATATTCAAAATGTTAAGTAAGAACACTGCCTTGCTTACAGTAAGCCTTCTGCAATGATATTAGCAATTATTCTTAGATGTTTTAAAATTACATTAATACACACGTATGAAGCATAGTTAACACTGGGAAATCCAAAACCCAATTAAACTGACTACTACTGTGTTTCTTCCTGATCCCATCCTTCTGACTTCTCCCCTGGAGATAACAGCTATCTTTGATTTTTTGTTTATCCTTCTTCTTCCTAAAAAAAATATGTCGTGTTCCACATTGGTACAGGGCCTATTTCTTTACAGGTAAGATTAAGCTTTGGATCAGTGCTCTCTGAACTCCCCTCCAGCTCTGAGTATATGAGGTATGACAGGTGGATATCAAACCCACACACCTAGTAGAATCGTATCAATGTTTGTTTTTCGAGGCTTTATAAAGCTAAAACACCAACTCTTCTGTTGAAATCTCCAATTTGACAAAAGAATATCTCAATGGAACTTGTAAAGATCAAGACCTTCCATCACTTTCAATTTTCACCTCTGCTATAAAGTTCTACTCTAGAGAAAACCAACCCAAGGAGCTAAATCATTTAAGTCCCTAACCCTGTCCAATGAAATCTTGAAACTCAAGCCTGAGGAAACAGGACAGAAACAGATGAGCTGGGGAAGTATACTTTATTTCAGTGACAAGTATTTTAATAAAAATTAAGAGGCATGGTTGGGTTCATATGTAATAGTTTTTAATACAACATAGATTTATTTCTTCCATATATATGTGTATATGTAGGTAGAATAAAGTAAAACAACTGAATGTCTTTTTAATGTTCATCAAAAGTGCTCACTCTTTTAGTTTCACAAAAAACTGCCTTTAAATAAGGTAAACACGAATGCAAATCTGCTGACCATATGGCTTTTCTCCAGGATGCTGATCTTCTTCTAGCTGTAAACAACCTGAGATTTTATATTTGTCATACCAGTTACCAAGTTGATCAGAGTTAAGTAAATTGGACCAGGCAGTGGAATTGCTGTGTCAAGGGCAAATAAATGCTCACCCCACCCCACCCCCTCAAGCCCATACACAGGTCTGTGTTTTCCAGACTTCAGTATGGCTGGAGTGAAAGTCAGCTGAGACTGCTGGTACAAGGTAACAGGCTCAAGTGTTCTCAGTGGCTTTTGAAGAGGCCACGCCTACAAAGTAAGATGTGAGTATGTTCTGAACCTGAGCAGCACCAGGAAGACAGTGGTCAAAATAATGAACAGTAACTATAGTAATTTTCTCATGGAATTGAAGTCATTTTCCTTATTCTACCCATTGAACTGGTATAAGAAAATGTATTTTGTAAGAGGTATCTTCTCCCCAAGGACAGTCCTGCTTCTCTCATTTAAAACATAATATACAAATCACCTTGATTTTTATAACCTGCCTCTTTAAAAATGGTAATAAGTATAATATCATCCCTTTAGTTTTTGTCTACCTTGAAGTGTAATATGAATTGTGAAAAGTACAATAAAGGACTCTCAGAATGCCAGGGTAAGTGTAAGAGGCTAACACAAGCAGCTACTGTTCTGTCTCACCAATGAAAGGGCATTGCAGTGCGCTGTTTGAAATTGAACCCAAATACTCTCCTCGTTTACCTCAAGTACAGCTATTAGGAGAGCTAAGCATCATCTACTACCTACATTTGTTTATTTCTGGTAAGGACATTTGCAAATCACAGTGGCACTTCTAGAATACCCACAGAGAAAGGCAACCTTCCCAAAAGCAAGTGTTTCCCTTCCTGGATAAGATCAAAATGCAGAACTCAAAGGTTAAGGTAAGCTTCTGAAACATGTCTACATTTAACCTTTAACCATAACACTTGACTTTCACTGAAATTAAATAAACCTTCACTGAATGTTCAACTGTTTACTTTCCACTATTCATATTCCAAACAGAAGGTAGCCTCTGAAAAAGGTCTCAAAAATAAGTAAGCTTCTCCTCTCAACTTCTGACAGTAGTAGAATTCAAGGCACTTCTTTGCTCTAGTTTTTGGGAATGTCCAAACTCTCCAGCAAACTAAATCCAGACTAGTGAATCCTAGGCCCCCCCAAAATCCTAAGCAAACTGGCTGCTTTAATCATTAGTTTACTAAAGAGACAATGGGGTGGTCTATTTTGTGAGCTAACAAAATTAATATAGGCAAGCATTCGCCTATAGTGAGTGTTATTCAGACGTTGACAGGTCAGATGTATTGCTGGTTAAGTTCTAGAACTGGTGAGCAAAGAGGTGTCCTAAAATAACGTAAGGTTTTTCATGAATGATAGATGCTAGCCTAATTTGCCTCTCTAGATATATAAAAAACACAAAGTAACTCTTTTCTATTTAATTCCTTCTTTTGAGTTGTACTCAAGTAGCTAATTCTTTGCAATAAGACTCATACTTCTGTTTTTCCTAAACTTGGTAGGAGTTCTGGGTTTCAAGTGTAGTATAGACAGTTTGGGTTGTCATCACCCAAATAAATGAAATCAAAAGAGTTTTGCATTTTCCAGTTAAAACTATTTTTAAATAAAGTTAAACTGTTGTGAGCTGTTGACTGACAAACCTAAGTGACCAGAATTAGGGGCATAATGGGTGTTTTTTCCTCGTCCTTAATACATCACACCACCCTCTCCAGAAGAAATAGTTTACTTATTCAGTTATTTATACCAGTAGAAGCAGAAATACTATTGTATTAGGGCTTATCTTGAATCTGTCTATAGAAGTTTTTACTAAATAAACAGATAGCTTTGCTTCATTAGAAGAGAATCCTGTTTAGGATGAAACTTGTGGAAGAAGCATTCCATAAGAGCCCATTTCCCCTACAAACAATGCTCAAGGGATCACTTTTGGAATTACTTGTCAGTATGCTTCCTTTGAGTCCTTATCTATATCAGATCGCAAATCCCTTCCCATGCCAGACAGTTTTAAACTCAAACCACACCAAATCTGAAAACAACCAACCAAATAAAGAACTAGCCTGGGAGATTATGAAGTCTCCTTTTGAAGGCCAACAAGATGCTAGGACAGCCAGAGCCTTGGGTATTTCAGAAATCTAACTTTTTACACACACGTCCCAGTGCCTTGACACATTTCAGCTTTGAGCTTAATCAAATTTCACACACAGGTGGAAAGCCTATCTCTTCTCCACATGTACACTGGTTCCTCCTCTTCATTCTAATCTTCACTCCTACATAATCCACATCTACCTTGACAGCTAGCACAATTTCTAGCTGGAATGTGGGAAAGAGAAAAGAGAGAAAAGAAACCTATCCTAAGTTAGAAAAGTTTAGGGAACAAGATGTCCTAAGGATTCTAAATAAGAATGGGGTATATTTCTATATATAAATGTTATCAACATCAAAGACTCAGTAAACAGTACACTAATCAGAAAAGGTCCATTCCTTTAAATGCTAGAAGGAATTTGGTTCATGTGAGTCAGAGAACACAAACACACAGTTACTTTTTCCAATCCAAATTTCTTGCCTGCTTTAGCTGGATCCTTTAAGGTAACTTTAGATGATTCTGTTTCATTAATGCAGAACAGGATATGAATTCTGATCCTGGGGCTGCAGGCACTTAACCAAATTATCAAGCTATCTACAATGATGGTTTACTTGAAACATTTCTTCTGAGCATGAGTGTTTTTTTCTTGCATCAAATGAGTAAGGACTCAAAGGGGGGAGGGAAAAAAAAGGTACTTGTCAGTTTGAAAGTCACAGACAGTTTATCTTTCTATAATTAGATTAGGAGAAAAAAAAGTGAAGAACCCATTACAGCAGGAAGAAGAGTCTTTCAGGGTCTGGCATCTGTAAGGAAACAAGAAAAAAAATAAGAGTTCTTAGTTTCTTTCAATGACAAAAGCACCAACTACATCTGACAATAGGCCACACAACTATAGCCCAATTAAAGTCTCTTGGTCTGCTGGAAGAATCTGTTGCTGTTAAGGGCAGAACACCAAGTACCTTCTGACCCTTAGCTCTTTAGTATCACTAATCATACAGAAACTTGTTAACTAATTTAAAAACATTCTATACAGAGATCAATATACAGTCCTTGTATCAACAGTTATCATGGGTGAGGAGAAAATCAGAATTGACCATCCAGGCAACTGACTTCTCCAGACAATTCTGGGTTAATTCCAATTAACTTATTTTTTTCTCTTTTCATATACTCATTAATTCAGTAATATTTTTTGAGCTGTTACGATGCACATTGAAAGTAAAGTCACTCAGTTCTGCCTGACTCTTTGTGAACCCATGGACTATACAGTCCATGCAATTCTCCAGGCCAGAATACTGGAGTGGGTAGCCATTCCCTTCTCCAGGGGATCCTTCCCAACCCAGGACCAGCTGAGCTACCAGGGAAGCCCACAATGCATATTAGGGAAACAAAAATGAACACGGTATTACCTGCTTCTGAGGCACTTATCTGGTAAAATATTGTTGATTAAAAACATAAATGGGATAAAGCATTTAAGTGCAAGGTGAACAAACCCTTTTCATGTATGTGCAATAAAAAAAATTTTCTGCTTACTCAAGTTCCTTAAAAGAACAAGTCATGCCTTCCATCTTTGTGTGTGTGTGTATCTATCCAAGAAGAGAATTCTGCAACAGGTGTTCAAAAAATGATGCTTTATTTTTAACTAAGAGGATAAGAAGACCTGTGGCTATTTAAGGATTCTTACCTAAATTTTTCCCCTTATTCCTCTGTGGTAACACATACAAAAGAATTATCAGGGTGTAATGAGTTTATCACTTTTCCAAAGCAGAAAAGTGTTTAGTCTTAACTGATAGTTTCTCCGAGGCTTTCACCGTGGAGTAGCCGTTGGAGTAGCTATCCATACTGGATGAACACCAAACATTTTAAGCAGTGTGCCAGAGAAGGATGCAAAGTTCTCCATTTACCCAGGGCTGGGTGTGCTTTTTTGACGCACTCCAGTGCAGTTGTGTCTCTTTCCCTTCTGGGACCAAATCCAATTTTCTGGCTTCCAGATATATTTAATAATTTGATGTCAGAACCTACCAAGAAAAATGGCCGGTCCCTAGAAGCAACTGATAAATATTATTGTTCTCAGCTAAGGGGTGTTGGCTTCTAGCATATCTTTTGTTTCTCACCAGAAGAAACGTCAGTTTTGGTACAGAACAAACCCTAGCTCAGAAGATCCATCTGCTTCACTGTTCAGAAAAGTGAATGGGCTGCAAGGCGACAAGCCAGCTACTCATTCATTCACTGAATGTTCACTGAAGGCCTACTACCTCAAGACAGTGGGGATTATCCCATTCCCAGCCCAACAATATTCCTCTTTTGCCAGAAGCCATGTGGCCGGTCAACCTCAGCCAAGACAGCCATTTGAAGCATCAAACCTGGCTCTGCTGTGGGTACATAGGGTGATCTCAAAGAAGGACTTCATCTGTGAAAACTAAAAGATTTTGGTCTCGTTATATAGATTTTGTGAGGTTCTGCTAAATCAAATATTCAGATAAGATCTACAGTGCAATATGATCTACAGACTTTTAGAGACCCAAAACTTTAAAATGCTAGTTAAAAAGTATGAATTTTTTGATGAGTGTTAAATTGTACTGCACAGAGAAAGAATTGCAAAGCAGTGAAGCACAGCTGTCTGATTAATCTCAGTCCATTAAAAAGGCATGATAGATCTAGAATGCAACTTTGATTAAAAAAAAAAAAGGAAAAGGCAATGTGCACTAACGTTAGGGAGAGCAACTTGGTATGTAACAGAAATCTAATTTAACTAGTAAATGTTTATTCATTAGCATGTAAAGCCATAACAGAGTCTATATACTCAAAAAACGAAAGGCACACACAAAGCTTTAATTCGGTACCATAATCTGAAAGAAAATTGGACCCAAATTACTTTACGTCCAGTTAAATCTTGCTACCATCTGAAAAAATTGTGAAATAAAACCAAAACACTTACTTGATGAAATATTCAGTTACTGTGCATTTCCATCTATGGAGTAAAAAGATTTCAAAATAAATACACCATGTCAATTGAAATTCACTCCACCCCCTAGTCTTACTAAACACAAATGATTTATTCCTGGTGTATATGGAATTATATAATAAAGTAGAATTTAAAGTTAGGGACAGGATTCTACTCAGCATGGAAAAAGAAAATAGTCTTTTTCTAGCTATCAAGACTTATGGCATACGATTAGGTAATCTCATTTTGGGGGAAATGCAACTATCCAAAGGGAAATGTTTTAAAGGGGATCCTGTAGCCACCTAAAAATTAGCTCAAACAACAACAAAGACTGAAATCAAGGAAATCTGAATTTGGGGGCAACATTAGGAAAGGGAAGTTTGTATTAAATAAAAGTGACAGTATGTTAGGTGTACCAATATATGGGAATTTCTTTACTAGGGTGGTATGACATGAATTTCAGACCTGTTTACTCAGCATTGTCTCTGAAGCCTTGGGAAGACATCTGAATACCATTCATACGCTGGTTCTTATAACATTACTTTCATTTTGTCTTTACCCATTACCTTTCAGGCCCTTGCAATCCAATTTCTAATCCCAATTCCCTATTGATATTATGCTTTAAAAATCAGGGATGATTTCCTCCTAGCTAAAATAGATAGTCTTTTTATTGGTCCCAAATGTATCCATGGAATCCGATGCCAGTGGTCACCCTTTTTTCTTTCTCGGTTTGAGTTTTATTTGCAAAAATGTTATTTTTTAAGCCATCAGTGATTCACAATTGAAGTAGGCATTTCATAGCTGAAACCAAAGGCTTGAGATGGGGATAGAGAAATGGTATGAGGGAGGTGGGAGTGGGCAGGAAACAAAGAGAACTAAAAAGACAGGAAAAGGAAACGAGGGGATAATTCTGGTCTTAGGAGTTAAGAGACTCATTCAGGGTCCAGGTCTGCCAACTACCAGCAATGCAAATAATTTTTTGTGCGATTAGTATGTATTTTATAATTAAAAAATTTTAATTACCAAAACGTTCCTTGTTTATAGAGTTTTGAAGAGCAGGTAAGAATACTGATGAGAGCACACAGCATAGAGCTTTCTACTGGGAAGCTCAACTAGTATGCATGCATGCTCAGTTGCTAAGATGTGTCTGACTCTTTGTGACCCCAAGCTCCTCTGTTCATGGGATTTCTCTAGGCAAGAATACTGGAGTGGGTTGCCCTTTCTTTCTCCATCACCCTGTCTTGAAAATATTCTTTAGGCTTCTGTGATCTTGTACATGCCTGTTACTAACCAGGGTTAGGACTAGGGGTGAAGTGAGTGAGGTGCTTAAGATGCAAAATCTGAGGAGGCATTCACTCTCAGGGTCACTGGGTGCAGGGTATTCGGTATTCAGACTGAACATGTCCTTGAATAATTAAGACCAACTGTATTTATTTAGCACAACACACAGTAAAAGCATTTTGCCACTCTTTCACTTACTGTTTTTCCATGGCAGAACATATGGCAGAGACTTGGGAACGCGCATGCCTGAAGCCAGGTTACTCTTATGTTCCATGACTATGTTGCTTGCAGGGCTGCAAAAGGAGAGATGAATTTGAGTATGCTGGCATATTTGCATTCTTTAGGCAGGCACACATAAAATAATCAAAATGTGTTTTTTGTAATTTTGGGAAAAACAATCACCTACATGCTGAGATGTAAACACATTTCCATCAAAACATTCTTGCAATTAGAATGATTACCACTTCTCTGGAAAGCTCACTGTTCTGTACAGGCATTAAGATGGGTTTAACCATTTTCATTTTCTAGAAATTGAGATAAACAGCAATGCCATCTACTGTTCAGTTGTATGACAGGCTCATCAACTCACTCAATATACATACGAGATAAAAAATGCCAAGACAACCAAACTAAAGGCAACAAATCTCACAGAATTGAGATAAAATTAAAACTGTACCAACGGAATTCATCTTTAAGTTTTTCTATCTCAATGCATACATAAAGTACAATAACTGTACACTTATAATACCGACTTTAGGAGCTAAAAAATAAAAATTGGTAAAGTATTCTATTTGAGGAAAAAATGAAGTCTACTATCTAATACTTTCATTTTCTAATCTGGAAATGCTCTCATTTGGGTTTGAAATATGATCTTTTTGGCCACACTATATGGCTTATGGGATCTTAGTTCCCCAGCCAGGGATGGAACCTGCACCCTTGGCAGTGAAAGTGTGGAGTTCTAACTACTGGACTATCAGGGAATTCAGAACATGATCTTAAAAGGTTTGAAGATCAAGTGGTAATGAAACATCTTCGAGATTTAAATTAGATACAAAATCAGTGGGGAAGGAGAGGTGAGTTTTTTTCCCTACCCAATTGGTATTATGGATTGTCCAGTCTAAAATCAGGAACTTTTAAGATTAGTTTTTCCTTAGACACTAGTTATCCAGAGCAAAAATAACACATACAGTACAGCTACATAAGTTTTTCAAAGCATTAAAATAACACGAACTTAGCAAAAACTCTAGCTTAGACATAAGAATGGCTGGCGCCACTGTCTCCTGTGCTAGACGACAAGCTAGTATTTTTGTGTTCCCACAGGAATTAATGCAAAGCATGTGACCTTTTTATGACTCAAGGAATAAATAGAAAAAACCCACCAAAACTATATCTAGACAAATTACCACCAAGTAACATCACTGAGGAAAGAGGTCAATACATGCTTTGGAGCCTACTATTGGGAACAGAGCACTCTGTTTCTGGGAGGAAGTGGTGGGAATGAGATCTTTTCATTTACCTATTGTTGCCACAGTAGTTGGCTGTGCCCCAGACAAAGGGGGTGCTGGTCTGTTCCCACAAATCTGCCAAAGGAAACAAAACACAGTTTGTGGTGCTACTAGGTAAAACACCAATTCATGCTAGTCGAATTTGTAAGATGAGAAATAATAAACTTAAGTTCAGAGAAGCAACTAAAAACTGGTCAAGTACCCTAAGAGACAGAGTAGCAAAAATTTAACTGAAGGATATAAACACAAGCGACATAAATAATAATAAACGTGCTTAGTAACAACCAAACACAGATGGTGTAACACAATTTATGAAAAAAACAGATGTAAAGTAGTGTTCTTTTCCAATCAAGTGGGAAAGGCTGTTCCACGTGTCTGCACAGAGATACAAATGTGTTTGTACTGGGGCTCAATAAGAATAATAAGGCATTCTGAACAATATGGTATGTTCATAAAAAAGGAAAACCTTCCTTCTATCTAAAGCACATGACTCAAGATTTTGACACTGTGAAGAAACAGATGTAGAGGCCCTTCACCTTTATCCCAGTCTTCATCGCAAGGAGGGCACTGCCACGTGCTCTCAGCCAGAGTCTCCTGTCCAAGGTTCCTGGTTTGGTTGACTGCAAGACAATAGAGATTCTGACTGAAGAAGGAGACACTGCCAAGTTATTATGTTTAAAGGGGTTAGTGGCTTAAAAGGTTGCAGGGTCTTTGTTTCTGAAAAATGGGATAGGATGAAAGCTAAACAGGTCTTATCTCCTTTCCGATAGAAGAAAAGAAAGAGAAGCAGAAACAAAGATGTTTGCTGTATTTACGGTAATAAAAGCATTTTTATTTTTAAACAAAGTATTAGTAAAATGAATCAGGTTGTTCAGAAGGGAAAGAAGTCTGGTACACATAACCTGACAATCTTTTGCTGCTAAGATTAAAAATCTCAAAGGCAGAAAAGTATTGTTTTTCTAAAATGATGAAAGCCAAAAATCAAGGTGATAATGTAGCATCATGTAAGTTTGAGGGAGCTAACCTCCAGTACTGAAACATCTTAGCTAGTCAGTCTTACCTACATCCTGCTCAATACAGCTTTTGTCATCACAGCTTGAGATATGATGACTGATTTCAGCCCGAGGAACCTGATGGCGAGCATTGAAGGGACAAGTCGCCAGTTTGTTTGCGACATCAGGATGATTCTGGGAAAAAAATTAAAGGGGTTTGTCAATAAACTTGTGGTGGAATGTGATAGGTACACTAAGCAGAACATTAAGGGAGAATTATTTATCACCTATAAAGATCACAGAGACATTACCTCTTTGTTATGATTATAAAGACTGACAACACAGATACTGGGGTTAAAGTGGTTTATAAGGAAGTAAACAGTGAATTTAGGATTGGGTATTTGAATCGTATCTTCTCCCTGTTTACTTCTCAGGGTAATGCGAGTCTGGTGGCACAGCCTGTAATGGCACAGCTCTCTGGATGTCTTTGAAAGCGGATATTCAGGATGAACAGCAACACTAAAACACACTTTGCACTGCAGTAGCACCCCTGCTACTGCAGTACAAGAGTGCAGTTAAAGACGTGGGAAAGGAGCTGCAGAAGAGGCAAACCCAGTGATTTTTCAGATTAACACTGGAACACTTATTGAAAGTAATGATGCCTGAAATGAGGCTCTGAACAATTTGTCCTTTATTTCAGCTATTTCACTAAGGATAAGTCCAGATGATAGAGAGCTCTGTTGACCAAGTTCCTTATTTTAATACAAAACAAGAAAACAAAACAAAGTGTTTAATAGAACCCAAATCCTATGTTAAGTTTACCAGCAATTAAGAAATTAGGAGAAGCAAAAGATATATCACAAATGATACTCAAAAAAGTAAAAATAAAGTGGGGAGAAGGGTGCAAAAAAATAGAAGATGGAGAAAATTGTGAGGGCAGGTATCTCCATGATTTTTTAAAGGGATAGTGGGCATTCTAATGCAAAGGTTTTGTGGCTGAAGATTGAGAGCATTAGGAGAGGGGAGTTATGATGATGTCTTTTTACCACTTGGCTCCCTTTCCCAACCTTTCTCCTTGGGACATGTCTGAGAGCCTAGAGGAGGAAGTTGTGGTGGTATCTGCTGGTCTGTAATGTCTAGGTTCAACCTTAAGGAATTCTTGCTCTAGATCTAGATTGAAAGGAGCTGAGAAATAATCAACAATGGCATTATAATCACGTCTCCAGGACTGCAAGAGAAACATCCTTTGAAGAATGTTAATGCATATGTGAACTGTATGCAGGTTTGGATTAAATACCTAAATTGTTTTCCAAGCATTAATTCTGGCAGAACTTTGGCCTCTGTATCTGACATTTCTATTCTAACCACCCTTTCAAACTGCCTCAATTAATTTATCAGCATTAAATTAGCTTACATCAACTAAATCTACAAAAGGTAACCAGAAGGAAAAAAACTCTTTGAGCTGTTTTTTTTTTTTTCCCTCCCCCTAAAGATGTTTACTGTTGAAACTTGGAGAAATAGTTATTTTTATGAATAATCTTTTCTTGGGTTAACCTCTAGCTGTTCAACTTCTCTAACATTTCTAAACAAACACACACAAAAAAATCAAAATAAGTGTATTACAGTACTCAATCCTTATCAGGACATCAAGTTTACAAGGCAAGAATGATTTCTGATCACTAGTAAAAATTAGTGTTTCCTGTTTCACAGCGGGTGAGAAGACTGGAGAGAAACTGTTTAAGGGTGCTGTGTCACTAGCTGGGGAAAAAACCAAAACGAGAAAAAACTTACACCCCCAAGAAATAAATAAATTCTTATCTATAAATGTTGGCATTTAACCCAAAGCAATTCTGGCATTTAATTAAAACATATATGCTAAAATTATTTGATATTTATAAAATCTGGCTTTTTAAAAGAACTCAGGAGGCCATCACTGGGCAAATTGAAAAAATAATATCGTACCTTTCTGCACTTGATAAGGTGATAAGGAAACCTGCAGGCCCTGATCTGGTGGTTTTTATCATAGGGGCATTGTAACAGCTTTTCAGGGTCCAGAGTATCGACTGAAAGAAAGAAAAACAGGGTAAGTATAAAGCTTAACAGGTCCTTGCAACATTTCAGCATCCCTGGCACATGGATTTTTCAACAGCATCTGTAAGAACTGAACAAGATGGCCTAACAACAACTTGAAAGATTTTTTTAAAAGGGTGACTAAAAACATTTGAAAGCGTAAGATAAATCTGTGTTATTGAATCTTCATTAAGTCCAGCAAAACAAGCATTCATGGGATGGGGTCAAAGTTCACATTTGGTTGTACATAAATACTGTTGTTTTTATTGCTGGTAATCCTTATTATAACAAAAAATTAAATGATACATCTTTTCCTTTTCTGAAAGTGCTAATTCAGGGTCATTCTTTTCTCTAGCTAGTTCAACCAAAACTTCCAGGCAGTATACTGAAAGTTGGAACGGACAATGTATTGATATACTGATGTGGGAGTCCACTGCACAAGTGCCCCCTATTTCCCAACTAGTCTTAGGGCAAGCTGAGGGTAGTTAACCCCCGACACCAGCATTTTACTAGTTTGCCATGACATGAAAAAAGTTGGTAAGCACTGCTCTGTATCAGTTATATGTTCTATGGAAGCTTAGGAAATATCATTGATAGATTTATTTTTTTGTCTGCCTGATTTAATGTACTTCTCAAAATAGCTCCTAGTCAGTGAATATAGTTACCTCTCAAATGAGACCAATACCTTTACCAAATTGGTAAAGGTCCCAAAATTTCATATTTTGGAACACAATGAGAAAAAAAAGGAGAGAATTTTTTAATCTGATGATGAAATTGGCCATATAAAAAGTAGAATAAACTGCAAAAACATAACCTCCTAAGTTTAAGACAACTGAAGATATATAGGGCTACTGTGAGAAAGCCAACCCCTAATCTATATTGTGCAATTTAGAAGTACTCTTAGAAGACTATACTTTCAGGCTCCATTTCAATAGTTTAAATAGAAACGAGACGTTTCTCATAACGTGTAAAACTACTCTTAGGTTCTGTAAAATGTCCAGGCTGAGCCCCAAATTTTAAGAATCTTGGTAAAAGAAGAGAAATTAAACAGTTAAGTACATTTTGAATATATTATGAGGACAAGACACAATCTAATAAAATGCTGTTGCCACCACTGAAGGCAATAATAAAAGTGAAATAAGATAAACAATTCACATTTGATAAGAAGCTTATAAACCAAGAGACTGCTATGAAAATCAGAAGCTGCAGGAATTGAAACAGTGTCTCTGGAAGAGTGGTAAACATGGGATAAATTGCTAACCATGACCGTGATGCAAATGAGCCAGAAAGGTGACTTGAAGGACAGAATGAATAGGAATGAAAAGTCTTAAAGGACAAGCAGGCTTATTATGCCAACCAGGCTCATCCTGAGCAGTGATCTTTTCACATTTCTAAAGCTTCAGGATACACAGGAAAAATATACAGATGAAATTCTTGTTAGTTTCCCTCCATTTAATCCATTTCATCACAAGCAAATGATAGGCCATGTCAGAAGCTGACAGACTGGACATACTTTATGATTCATACACATTTTACTGCCCATACAGTGGCATACATCAGAGTTAATGATAGCTTCCTACTAAAATGCTTTACTTTTTGGTCTCTGATAACAGGTCTGCTCTAAACGGGTCTTTTACTTAAAAATTTTTCAATTTTATGTTTAATTTAAAAATTTTAATGGTAATAATAAAAATAACAAAATTCATCACCTTAACTATTTAAAAGTGTATAGTTTATTGGTATTAAGTATATTCACATTATTGTGAATCTAGACAATCTCTAGAAATTTTCACCTTGCAAAACAAACTCTATACCCATTAAATAACTCCCATTGCCTCCTCCCTGAAACCTCTGGCAGTCATTATTCTACTTTTTGTTTCTATGAGTTTGACTATTCTAGATATTTCATATAAATGAAATCATACGGCATGTGGCCTTTTTGTGATTAATTTATTTAAATTACCACAATGTCCTCAAAGTTTATCCATAGTGTAGCATGTGACAAGATTTCCTGTAACTATTTTATTTTTCTTAAAAAAAAAAAAAAAAAAAATTCTTTATCAGTGAAATGTAAGAAACATTTCCCTGCTGCATAAGGATGTAGCACAGATTCTTAATCAGTTCCCTTACTGATACATTTGTTTCTAGTTTTTACTATTATATAAATGCTGTGGATAGCAATCTAATATATACTTATCTGTGCACTGTATGAGTATTTTTCTTGGGCAGATACCTAAGAGTACTGCACAAAGTATTATATGAATTTAAAGTTGTAACAAATACTATTGAACTCCTCAGCAAAAAAATTTTTTAGAATGTCCCTTAAATTGGTTTACCTGTTTTTTAACATTTAGAAATTTTTAAATTTCTTTTGGAGATAACTGCTTTACAATACTGTGTTGGTTTCTGCCATACAGCAACATGAATCAGCCACAGGTATACATATGTCCCCTCCCTCTCACCTCCCACCCCATCCCACCTCTCTAGATTGTTAGAGATCAGCAAAAATCTTGAGTGACTTTTTGGGAATATAACTTAATTTGGAAAACAAAGTAGGCCTCATGGACAAGCTTCCTCCAAAAGCACAGACTCAGATATTCCTCACACTTGGATAGGGCTCAGAACCCATGGTGAGAAAATGGAAGAAACTTCACAGAAATGAGGAACCAGACGTGATAAGAGTATCATCAGCTAAGAGGTACCGCATAAAGACAGAAGCTGGAGATCTTCAGGAATCTATTAGATTATAGAGTTTAGATCAGTTGGGGGGAAAGGTCAAGTACATTCTAAACAGTATTTCTCACTTTAACTTGATTCCTGGTGTTAAATCACTTGAGGGCAGTAGATTCTGCATTCAGCATGTTTGAGATGAGGCCTGAGATTATACATTTCTAGCATACTCTCAGGTTCTTTTTAAAATCTTAAAACAATGAAACTTTACCAAGACACAGATAAACAGAAAAAAATGCTATGCTTAAAGGAGTTGATTCTTTATAAGTCAATATATTTTATTAAATTTACTTAGTCACAAACTTAAAAATAAACAAACAGTAAAATCAACCATTTTCAACCTATATGCAACCCTATATGCAAAACAGAAAAAGAGACTCAGATGTATAGAACAGACTTTTGGACTCTGTGGGAGAAGGCGAGGGTGATGTTTCAAGAGAACAGCATCGAAACATGTATATTATCTAGGGTGAAACAGATCACCAGCCCAGATTGGATGCATGAGACAAGTGCTCGGGCATGGTGCGCTGGGAAGACCCAGAGGAATCGGGTGGAGAGGGAGGTGGGAGGGGGGACCGGGATGGGGAATACATGTAAATCCACGGCTAATTCATTTCAATGTATGACAAAAACCACTGCAATGTTGTAAAGTAATGAGCCTCCAACTAATAAAAATAAATGAAAAAAATAAATAAATTTTAAAAAAAGGAGTTGATTCTTTTTAAGTCAATATATTTTATTAAATTTACTTAGTCACAAACTTAATAAATAAACAGTAAAATCAACCATTTTCTTCTTTCTTTAACAAACATCTGATTTAAAAAGTCTGTGCTATGTAGCAACAATTACAAGAACCAAGTGATATTTTTCCTAATAAAAAAATCACCACTGGATAAAGTAAAGAATAAGAGACATAAAGGGGAGATGATGCTTTCTAATTTAATAGAGTAGTAAGCTTCCAAGAATAAATATCTTTCATATCTATCTCACACGGAAATCTCAGATTTTAATTAATATATTTTTAGAAAAATTAAGGACGTGATGGAGGGAGCCCTAAGGCAGATCAAGTAGAATCAGACTTCTAGATCCATTATGCTCAAAGTATGGTCCTCAGATTAGCATTACCACCTGGGAGCGTGTTAGAAATGCAAATTGAGTCCCAGACCTTCTGAATCAAAAATTTGGGGGGAGGACTCCAAAAACCTGTGTCTTAACAAGTATCCTAAGTGATTCTTCTGCATGCTATAGTAGATATTTAATAAAGACTGTTTCCATGTAGTTTCTGTATGTTGGTGATAAAGGTTCTATTGGACTCTTCCTTGAAGGCAGAATGGAACTAAAATATCTTTCAGTTAGAACTTAGAGATTCTGAACAAGATAGCAAAGTGGGAAACAAAGGTGGCCTTGCTGACAAGTTTCATCCGCTCAGATGTTCCTCAAACTTGGTCAGGGTCTAGAAACCATAGTGCCTAGTGGTATGAAGTAGGGCACGACATATAAACAACATACAAGGCTCCGGTTCTGACTCTGTCCCCAACAGTGTAACCAGGGGGCAAATAGTTAACCCAGGCTCTGTTTCTCAGCTGTAAAATCCTAGTGTTGAATGAAGTGGCTTTTCAGGCCTCTCTCGTTCTACCCTTGTATGATCCTAGTTCTCCCGGCTCCCATTTGATTTGCTGGGCCATTGAGATTACTGGATCACTAGAGAAATAAGAATCCTCCCTAGAATTTCTTTAATCCTAAAAACTCAATGCACATCAACATTAGGTATACCATATATCCCACAGAAAAGAAACCAGGGGTTACCATCCATGTCACTAACAAGAGAAACTGAAGTCCTAAAGAATGAAAATTCTTCACTTAATAAATAAAAATATAGTTTAACACAGGAGTCCCAACCACAGCTTTCTCAAAGCTTGATGACTTCTCAGACTTTTTAATTTAAATTTCAAGGGTCCTATTTCAAATTTGGACATTTCTCTGCATTAAGAAAACAGTCTCATTTTTTCTTCCCAGCAGCTTAGCGAAAAAGTGAATCTTTCTCAACACAATGAAAGTCTTGTCAGAGAGAAAACCACATGTTCAGTAACTTATTTTTTAAAAGCAACAAGAAGTACTTACTGTAAGTTTCTTCCATGTTGGGATTGAAGGAGCCAAATCCAAAGTGCTGGGGGAAAGAAAAAACTGGATCAGGAAATCAGAAATAAAACGTACCAAAAGGAGCCCTAAGAAGTGGAATCAAACTAGAAGTGAGGTCACCCAAGTTAATATAAAAAACCCTTATAGCACCTCCCTCTTCCTATTAGTTTCTCCCCTTTAAGGCATTCTTTACTACTTTGAATCATTTTATCATTGCCTAACTCACACTCTTAGAACAAATTCTAGGGCTCACAGTTAAGAAAAACTAAACATGACTACTACTTAAACTGTATTCAGGTGAGAGGATGTCAGTCAATTCTAAGTGCCATTACAACACCGTGTCACTGTTTATAGAGTTTGTCACATCTTTTGATGCTATTTAATATTAGAAGGAGCAACTCGAGCCCACAAGAATGTTATTTAAACTGCAGGATAAACAAAGAATAGGGTACTATTTTAAAGCTCTGAAGTCCTCAAAAATATAGGATGATCGAGCTGCCAGTCTTGCTTCCTCCTGCCCCTGGGGACTTGGGAACGCTGGAAGCCTATGTCAGACTGTACAGTCAATCCATTCAGTATGCCCAGAGACACTCCAGTTTACTATTTCTATGATTTTTCTTAAACATGATTAGGAAGTTTCACACTTTTCCCAGTGATGCTTTATTACCTACACCCCACCCTATGCAAAACCAGACAGTCTAGGTTATTTAAATTTCTCCAGGTAATACTCATTCCCTCTGTGCACTGAGGAAACACTTCTGAATGTTAGCACTCAAGAACTGTCCATTTTATAGTTGACAGAATCACAAAAGAACAAGTCTGTAACAGAAATATGGAAGATTAAAAGACAATATTTTTAGTTTGAATCCTCTTCCACCTGATTCTCCTCTACTGAGCTGTGATTAAACAAACTTAACATTACAAAATAGACTAAATTTATATAAGATCATCCCTATAGGAAACTTAAAACTGGTTCGATTTACAGTTATTGCCCCTAGAGCCAGCTCTCCTCATACAATTCCACACCCCTTCCCCCCATTCTATGACATAAGCGGTCTTGGAACCTATGATAGGAAATACAAGTGATCAGCTGGAACTCGTTGAGTAATTTGCTGCAGAGCCTATTTGTAAATGACAATCACTGGTGAAACTGCCATGAAAAAATAATTTTCATGTGTGGGTTAAGAAATTTTGACCTTCCTTTTGATATGTTATACATAGTTACTCTATACTTTTTCAACAAAAAATAAAAAGAGAATTGCAAGAGCCAAACACTATGTTCCTTGATTTTAAGGCATTTAAAGATGCTATCGGTGCCAGACTGAGCAACTTGCAGGAAGCTCCCCTATCCTCTGGGGGCAAAAAGACTAAATTACAGTAGATTAAGGGCACTGGAAACTAGTCTCCTCATTCAGCCCTGTCCATCTAAGTATCTTATCATTATCAAACTGTTATTACGTCTTCACGTTTTTCCTAGCACTGCTGCTTCTGCTAAGTAGTTTCAGTCGTGTCCGACGCTGTTGGACCCCATAGACGGCAGCCCACCAGGCTCCCCCATCCCTGGGATTCTCCAGGCAAGAATACTGGAGTGGGTTACCATTTCCGTCTCTAATACATGAAAGTGAAAAATGAAAGTGAAGTCGCTCAGTCGTGTCCGACTCTTAGCGACCCCATGGACTGCGGCCCACCAGGCTCCTCCGTCCATCAGATTTTCCAGGCAAGAGTACTAGAGTGGGATGCTAGACGGTGGTAAAACGGGCACTCGGCAGTCAAGCTTGTGAGCTGGTTGTAGCCCGAAGCAACGGGTTACACTTAACCGAGCTGGGGTCTCAGTAAAACCAACATTTTTCCTCCTTTAACAAAAACCAAGAGTCTATTTAAACAACGGGACTACATAGGAGAAGGTGGAGAACGTGCCTAACTTAAAAAACTAAGGGGCCAGGGAGGCCCTCGACGGGACGAAGCAGCGGCAGACCCACCGGCTGCCTAAACACCTTTACGGAGGACCCACCAGATAGGCAGAAAAGGGAATATACTAGAAGGTGAAAGTATCCCAGTCCACGGTGAGATTTTGGGAGGTCCCCAAGCCAGGACCTGGGCGTCTTTCCTACCTCGGCCGAAACACGCTCTCCTCTCCCCGCGGTCGCCTTCGCTCACACCCGTGCCCCAGCAACGCTCCCTTCCGGCCTCTGACGTTAGGGGGTGGGGCCCCCACTTCCTGTGACGCAGGGCGTGGTGGTGGGGGCCGCTCAGCTGACTGCCTTCTTGGCACTCTCTCCTCGGCTTCCCCCATCCCCTCTCGGGAGGTGGTCCTCCGGCCCCCGAATGACCTTGGCTTTGCGTGGGTGGAACTCGCGCTGCCTTCCCGGCCTCTGTGGGGGCCATCTTAGAAACTAGAATGAGCGCTGAGACAGAGCGCTTGAGGAGGGGATGGGACACCTTAGAGGTCAACTGATAAACTGGTGAGAAGGAAGCCAGGTTAGTGCAAGTTGTCCAGAGAGATAATTTAGGTTTTGAGGGGAGGGAAGAGGAAAATTGAAAAAGAGATAAACAGAAGAAGTCCCCTCCTCCCACCTCCAGTTCCCCCAAAAACAAACCACTAAGGACAGGAATCTAGTTTTTGTTTAGCACGCCTTGTAGGTAGAATTTCAAAGTTCAAAAGTCGATAATGGTTTATCGGAGAATGCTCGGTAGGATGGATGCCCTAGTCATCTCCATTAAAGGAGATAAATTTGAGTTGAGGAGAGAGCTGGCAGTAGAAAGGGCCAGAAAGTTATAAATTGATAGTAGAAAACGAAACATATATTGTGAGCCTTTTTTCTGGAAACCCTGATATCAAGAAGAAAAAAAAAAGTGTAATCGGTGGTTCTTGTGTTCAAGTTGCTAGGAAAACAGGCCCCAGAGTGGATGAAAGATTAAATGGCAGTACAACAGATGCTAAGAAAGTTGTTGAGAACGTGAATTCTTTAGAAGAAAATCACTGGGGCCCAAAGTGACCCGGGGAGGACTTTGAGAAAAAGGACTTGTGGCATTTGTAGACCAAAAAGAAAAAAAAGGGAAGGAATTGATACTACAGGTAGATCTGGTAATAATATTTTTTTAAAAGCAAGAAGTAAAAGGCGTGATACGACACATTTTTGTATTGTTCAGGGTAGGAGGCAGACTGGATGGTCAGTTTGGGTGTTGAAATATTGGGGGTTTTAGACTATTTAAGTGGTTTATGTAGTCTAAATGTTATTTAGGAGAACTTATTCTAACAGCATGAACTAAATGTGGCTTTAGTGAAAAGGGTCATGAGACGTTTTTACATGAATAATATGTAAACATTATTGGATTTTTATTTCTGTCCGTGCTGCTTGTTTTGCGATATCTTCGTTTCCTGCCCAGGGATAGATCCTGTGCCCCATGCATTTGAAGCTGGAAGTCTTAACCACTGGACCTCCAGGGAAGTCCTGTTTTTTTTTATTTTTTATTTTTTAAATTATCATTCCTTGAGCTGAAGAGAGTATGCTTCACAGCCTTTGGTTCATGTTAAGATCCTAAAAATAAAAGTATTGGTGGAAGTAGAATCAAGGCTTCTTAATGGTGTCTGCACTTCAGAACCATTTGAGGAGATTTGAAACATACCATGTCACCTCCCCTTCCCAGGCCAATTAATCAGAAAGAGTTAGTTTTAAAAGCTACCCAGATGATTCTAATGTGCAGTCAGGATTGAGAACCACTGAGGTAGGCACTGTTTTGAATTTACAAAAGCTATTCTTTCACCTGGGTGGCCTGGATGATTTCTGTGAAGGAGAGGCAAGCTGCTAAAGTGCTTCTTGAAAGATGATTGCTGAGAATGAACAAGCTTCATTGAAAGTTCAGCACAAACAATTTTAGAAAAGCTGTTGTTTTGCAAATCAGTTTCAAACTGTTAGGGATATCTTAAATAATCTACGAAATCCTAAACCTCTGGGTTTACCAAATCATTCATGCAGAGTTAGCAGGGCCGGTGTGATTTAAAGTGAAATGTGATTTTTCAGGGTTTAAACTTCAGTAATCTGGTGAAATTGTTGACCCTGTTACTGTGACCCATCTGTTCTTTTCATTCAGATACCTGCAGGTTGAAATTTCTGGAGAAGGAAGAGCTAAGAGCTTGAGAGGACGAGGAGTGGGTACCAAACCAGAATCCAAAGTCACACTTCACTGCGTTCAGTAATAGCTTGTCAAGGTGACAGGATCCTCAACTGATAAAGCTGTTCCGTTTAGCACCAGTAAATGAGCCCACCAACTTTTAAACAAACTAAAGAACCAAACATGTCTTTCAGTGGTGGAGATATTAAAATAAAAATACACCACACGTCTTTCTCTTCTTAAATGCTTTTTTCATTCCTTCCCAACCCAGAAACTTCCTGCTCTATCTGAGATCCCTGCTGAGTTTTCTTTCAGACTGATTTTCCAGCCAGGTTGAATATATTTGAAAAGGAAGAAAAAAAAAAGAGCGAGCCCAAGGCATTTACGTGGGGTCATTCTGAGGGCTAGCTGGGATTAATACCCTAAACTGAATCTGATCCATGCTGGTTCTATCTCTGAATATGCTTGCATTTAACACTAAATTATAAATTATATTTTTAGAATTACTAGTTAAAAATAAAGACTGAACTAATGAGTAGACAGATCTGTATGCCAATGATTTAAAAAAAAGCAACTTTGTTCCAAGGTGAGTTTTTCTCTGCTTTCAGGATTGGAGTTCCAGTTATTCCTTCAGATTCTTTAGAGATTTTCAGTGTTTCATAAAGCCTGATAAAACTTAAACTTTTGCCCATCAGAAAGCTAAAACATTAAATTCTTTGTTTTGGGCTTACATTTTATCCACTAAGTCCTATTTTTCTCATCTATTAATGATTTCTGATTGGTTGTAAAGTGTGTAACTTAGGAAAATTATTGAAGTGCAGTTGCAAAATATTTCAAAAAGAGGTCTCTGGGGGAACATAATAGATGTTATTATTAGTGAGGGTAGATTTTGGGAAGTACTACTGTTGAGTGAAAAGTTGGGACTGGTTACAATTTTTCAGGCAAAGTAACAGGGTGAGGTGTTTCCACTAGGGAACCATTGAAAATAAATTTATGTTTAGAAAAGTCATTAATGAGAGTTTGCAAAGAATAGCTAACACCCCTCTCTACAAATACAGGATGATACAGGATAAATGAAAAACCAGTCGTGACTTTTTTTGTCTTTAAATTCATTCTGTGTCCTAATACATAAGTATTATGTAATTGTGTAATCCACATTGCTGTAATAGTTGCTGAGCAGTCTGTTTTCTGTGTTTTTCTTTGACTTCTAAGTAATTTCTTTCACTAGGACTCAGCAACAGTGCTTCCCTGGTGGTTTAGATGGTAGAGTCTGCTTGCAGTGCGGGAGACCTGGGTTTGATCTCTGGGTCAAGAAGATCCCCTGGAGAAGGAAATGGCAATCCACTCCACTATCCTTCCTTGCCTGGAAAATTCCATGGGTGGAGGAGCTTGGCAGGCTACAGTCCATGGGGTCGCAAAGAGTGGGACACAACTGAGCAATTTCACTTTTTTTCTTTCAGCGACAGTAGCCCCTTATACCCTTTCTGATACTGGCATCTGAGATCTAAATTTAAGTCAAAGTTTGCAAACCATTGTTGGCATTGCTTTTGGCAATGAATTCTTTACTGTGTAATGAATAGGTAGGTAAGAAAATGGAAACCTCTTAAAAGATTGTTGAAAAGATGGTAGAATAGCAAAATTATGCTGAAGAAATTTCACCTTCTAAAAATTATGTAAAGTGCTAGTCTTGAGTGGAACAGTTCTATAATTCCAATTCTATTCTTCTGATGTTATTTTAAGGAATGTCCAATGTTTAAACCTGAGGGTCATTTTCTTTTTGAAGCCTTTTCCTTATTTCTGCCTGGGATTAAGTGCTAATGTTTTCTTATACCCTCCTTTCCCCCCAGCACTTAAACTGTGTCATACCAGTTGTTCTCAGAGTGTGGTCTCCAGACCAGCATGATTAGCATCACTTAGGAACTTGAGAAAAACACAAATTCTTGGGCCTTGCTACAGACCTACTTACTGAATCAGAAGCTTAGAGGTGAGATGCCCTACAATCTTTGTTTTAATAAGCCCTCCAAGTGGGAGGTGGGAGGGAAGTTCGAGAGGGAGGGGACATATGTATACTTATGGCTGATTATTGTTGATGCATGGCTCCCAGGTGGCACAGTGGTAAAGAATCCACCTGTTAATGCAGGAGATGCCCTGGGTCAGGAAGATCCGCGAAGAAGGAAATGGCAACTCACTCCCGTGTTCTTGCCTGAAAGATTCCGTGGACAGAAGAGCCTGGCGGGCCCCAGTCCATGGGGTCACAAGAGTCAAGACTCGACTGAGCAGCAGCAGCGTGGCAGAACCTAATACAAGGATAATTGTGAAGCGATTATCCTCCAAGTAAAAGTAAATAAAAAGCCCTCCAAGTGATTTTGATTTTGAAGATTGAGAATTGTTGCCATATATTAACTATAGTTGTCAACCTTGTTCCCTCATGGCCGTAATTCCTAACATAGTGTCTCAAACTTAGTAGATACTTGATTATTTGACCTGAGAGCACAGGTATACTTTGTCAGGGCCTCCAGCACCTGTGAGACATCGTCTGTCTGGTAAGAGACTACGTGGGAAGAAGAGACTAAAATATTTGAGTTTTTTTTCTTTCCCTCTTTTGTATCACAGCTGCTTGGAAAGTCTGAAGAAAAAGGCCCACAAAGTATGGGCCAACAAAAGAATAAAGATGTGGAACCAAGGAGATATGTTTCGGTACTTATCTAGGACGTGAGTAATAGACTTTCACAGTTTTTTCCCCATAGTTCATGCTGTGAATATAAGAGTAGACTAAAACCAGATTTTAGGGAAGAAATTTTATAGCCAGAAAGTCTTATTGCTGTTACATAAACATAATTTAAATTGCCTTGATGGGACTTTTCTGTGAAAACGAGTGAAACTGATTACCAAGTTTTTTGAAAAGTTGATTTATTCAGTATATAATATTTGGCCCAGTGTATCAAATCTCTTTATTCCAAAATGGGTATAAAGTATAGATTCTCCACATTCATCACCTTTGATTTTGTGTGGGCATACGACTAGTACATAGTCAGATCATTCCTCTCCTAAAGCATACTATAGCTTAATAGTAATAAGTCAGACTGAAAGGAGGTTAAATGGAGATGTAAGCCACCTGTTAGGAGAGCTTGAGAGAATAGTTAGGATTTCGGGGAATCTAGGCAAGCTTTGAGGCAATTATTTTTAAACTTTGCTTTTTTAAAAAGTATTTTTTCTTAATTTAGTTTGGTTTTCTTGAAGGTTTGACCAGATGTTATGTTAGAAGCCAAACAAGTGGTGTATTTATTAACTTATATTGTGCCTTCTTCCAAGTGGCTCAAACTTCTTAAAAGTGAGATTTGAGTAGATCTGGCACCCATGTTTTGAATGATACAACTGCCTAATAAGTGATGTTTTATCCTTTTAGACTAGTGTAGTCGACTTGGTTTCTCTGGTTGTTATCTCAGGAAAATTGTTGTTCCCTCTTAATTTCAAGAGTATACTATTTTGGAGGAAAAATTATGTGGTCCCCCAACTGAGACCACCTGATGTGAAGAGCCAGCTCAGAAAAGACCCTGATGCAGGGAAAGATTGAAGGCAGGAGGAGAAGGGGACGACAGAGGACAAGATGGGTGGATGGCATCTCCGACTCATTGCACATGAGTTTGAGCAAGCTCCGGGAGATGATGAAGGACAGGGAAGCCTGGCGTGCTGCAGTCCATGGGGTCACAAAGAGTCGGACACGACTGAGTGACTGAACAACAACAATCATTTAAGACTGCATGGTCTTTTAGGAGAAGATTTCATATACCTAAAATATGGTAAAGGAAAACAGTTTTATCTTTTAAGGCCATTTTCCTGGGGAACAGTCTTTTGTTTTTATATGGTCTGGTGTTAATATACCAAAATATAATTAAAAAAATTCAAAACATGTAGGGTCTTAGTCAAGAGACAAGAGTAAATCTTGTTTATATTGTGTAAAGCTCAGAGAGAAAGTCAGTAGCCCCCCCAACCCCTTCACTTTGTACAAAATATATTGGAATGTGCTAAATGCTAAAAGTGTCTACTTGTCCTCCCTTCTATTTTAACTGAAGAAAAAAAAAAAGATCATTTGAAAAAGATCTAGAAAATACTTACGTAGGGATAAGACTCCTAAGGGCAGAAAATACTCATTTGACTAAAACTTCTTTTAATTGAAAGTCTAAATTTACTTGAACTAGTCAGTAAACTAGCAAAATCCCAAACTCATTGTTTTAAAAGAATTAGCTGGCTGCAATAAAAATTACATCTTAAGAGGAACTAATTCTGGCTTGTTTTAAATTGGGTGTTGGTTCAGTTTAAGCACCAAGTGAAGGGCTATAAACTGAAGGGCTCCAAAATCACTGCAGATAGTGACTGCAGCCATGAAACCAGAAGACATTTGCTTCTTGGCAGGAAAGCTGTGGCAAACCTAGACAGTGTCTTGAAAAGCAGAGACATTACTCTGCTGACAAAGGTCTGTATGGTCAAGGCTATGGTCTTACTAGCGTTCACGTACCTGGACTGTAAAGAAGGTGGGGTGCCGAAGAATTGATGCCTTCGAACTGTGGTGCTGGAGAAGACTCCTGAGAGTCCTTTGGACAGCAAGGAGATTAAACCAGTCAATCTTAAGGGAAATCAACCCTTCATACTTGTTGGAAGGATTGATGCTGAAACTGAAACTCCAGTATTTTGGTCATCCAATGAGAACAGCTGACTCATTGGAAAAGTCCCTGATGGTGGGAAAAATTGAGGGCAGAAGAAGAGGGCGACAGAGGATGAGATGGCTGATGGCATCACTAAAGCAATGTACATAAACTTGGGCAAACTTCGGGAGATGGTGAGGGACTCGCAGGGTAGGCCTGGCATGCTGTAGTCCATGGGGTCACGGAGTGTCAGACACGACTGGGCGACTGAACAACAGCAAAGCACCAAGTATTTGAGTATCTCCTAGATAAAACAGCACTAGACTAGCAGTATAGCCAGTATGTGATTCTCCCTTCCTTCATGAAGGTGTGGTTTTGGTTGAGGTAGGAGACAGGGAAGGTTTAAGTGAGGTGAAGATGAAGAATTGGACTTTAAAAAAGCTAGAACAATGATTTGAATAGTTGAAGGGCAAGGGGTGACATTTTAATTTTTTATTGACTTTATTGCTTTTTGGCTGTGCTGGGTCTTCATTGCTGCACGTGGGCTTTCTCTAGTTGTGGTGAGTGGGGGCTATTCTTCATTGTGGTGCATGGGCTTCTCATTGTGATGGCTTGTCTTATTGTGGAGCATAGGTCCCAGGGTGTGCAGGCTCAGTAGTTGTGGCAGATGTGTTTAGTTGCCCTGAGACATGTGGGATCTTCCCGGATTGAGGGATCGAACCCGCGTGCCCTGCATTGGCAAGTGGATTCTTAATCACTGGACCAGCAGTGAGAAAGAATAAAACAGATTTAACATGGAAGTAAACTGACTTCTGAAGAGTTAGAAAGGTAGCTTTGGAGGCAAGTTCCAAACTCAGCTTGTCATGAAAACTCTATCCTTTAAGTATGGAAGAGTTATATGGAGAAGTGATTGAAGAAGGTTGATATGATGGTCATATAGTAAATGACTTGGAGATAGGAGAAAAAAGTTGGGGATAAAGAATCTAACTATGTAATAGCATTATGGACCACATGGTGACTGTATTTCCCCTACTAGAAGAAATAGGCAAATCAGCCATCCAGCCCTTTGGTTGAAAAATGAGGATATGAAAACAAGGAAGAATAAAAAACCAAATGAAGCTTGTCATAGGAAAAATGCTCTTTATTTAAATAAATAAAAACATGTTAGTTCAGTTCAGTTGCTCAGTCGTGGCATCTTAAAAACATGTTAAGATGCCAGCAATACCAGCAAGAGTTGTTACCTAAAACTTGACTGTTAAGATTTCCCCAAATTAAAAAAAAAAGAAGCTTAATAAATCTTCCATCTGCTGGCACTTTTAATCAACAACTTCTCCATCCATTTTTCTGACCTAAGGGTAGAAGGAAAACACTGAGATAGTGTCAGTTTGATAACAAGTGTTTTTATGGAAGATCTAAGCTTGATGGGTGTTAATAGCATTTCAAATAGAGTTCTAGACAGCTCTTTCAGCAAAGTCTGATTTAAAGCCATTAGGACTTTCCCTGCATTCTGTTGTCAGGGAAGGAGGATTTTGAAGAGAAAACACATTTTTTTGTGTATGTGTGGCTGTGCTGTGAGGCACTTGGGCATCTTAGTTCCTGACCAGGGATCAAACCCATGCTCACTTCAGTGGAAGCTCAGAGTCTTAACCACTAGACTGCCTGGGAAGTCCCTGGTTTGTTTATTCTTAAAGAAGAAAAGCTTGTCTAATAATCTTTGAAGATTTATAATATAATGTTAGTAATATTAATTAAATTTTTTTTTTTGTTGTTTAGTTGATCAGTTATGTCTGACTCTTTTGAGATCCAGTGGGCTGTAGCCCACCAGGCTCCCCTGTCCATAGGGTTTCCCAGGCAAGATTACTGGAGTGAGTTGCCATTTCCTCTTTCAGGGGATCTTCTTGACCCAGGGGTTGAACCATGTCTCCTTGTTTTTCCGTTGCAGGCAGATTCTTTGCTGCTGAGCCACTGGGGAAGCCGGCTAGTTAAAACTGTGTTAATGTATGGTTTTTTTTTTTGTGTGTGTGTTAATGTATGTTAAAACTATGATGTTCAAAAAGTTACTCTTTTCTCCAAGACTTATGGTTGTTAGGATGTTTATCATCCAGTCTCCTTTTTTATGTTTCTTGAGTCATTGTAGAATATGACCAAAAGAGGAAAGTTAACTGGAAATTAGAACTACAGAATTAGTCTAAATAACCAGTTCTAGGAGATTAAAGTTCAGTCAGTTCAGTTCAGTTCAGTTGCTCAGTCGTATCTGACTCTTTGCGACCCCATGAATTGCAGCACGCCAGGCCTCCCTGTCCATCACAAACTCCCGCAGTTTATTCAAACTCATACCCATTGAGTCGGTGATGCCATCCAGCCATCTCATCCTCTGTTGTCCCTTTCTCGTCCTGCTCCCAATCCCTCACAGCATCAGAGTCTTTTCCAATGAGTCAACTCTTTGTATGAGGTGGCCAAAGTATTGGAGTTTCAGCTTCAGCATCAGTCCTTCCAATGAACACCCAGGACTGATCTCCTTTAGGATGGACTGGTAGGATCTCCTT